CTTGACCACCTCTAAGTAGCCTTTCATCATTCTCCGTCTCCATATACTATTTTTGTTCTTATGACCACCTGACATATTTATATAGTTCTTATGGCCACTTGACATATTTATTTGTTCATTGTCTTTCTCCCTGGCCTCTCTCCCTCAAAATTTAAGCTCCATAAGACTAAGAACTTTGTTCCTAGTGCTATCCCCAGCAGGTCTGCTATGCAGTAGATATCAAATAAAAGGTTTTTACGTCAAGGATCTTTACGTCATCCTTCAATTTCTATTTTGGGTATGTTTTACAAACGTACAGAATGAGAGTAGTATAGTGGCAAAGGTATATAATTTATTTTTTTAATATATACATATTTGAGAGTTATACTTACATATTTTTTTCACTGATAGGCATACTGTCAAAACATGTTGGAACCCACCAGTCTAGAATATATACCCAAACATGCCTGGCATTCCCATTCTTGGCTAGTAAGTTGACCAGTAAATGGCCCAGTAACTTTTTCTTATTTTCCCATCAGTTCTATTTTAATTCTTATTTATTTTCTCAGAATTAAGTTCAGAGTATGTTTTTCTAACCCTTAAATTTCAAAGAGATTATTTTTTCTTAGCAGTTAAGTCAAAAACTTAGATATTCTGCTATTAGCAGAGGAAGATACCACAATCACTGTTTCTCCCTACCAATTTTGTGATTATATATTAGGTAGCTGTCCTTTTATTCTGTGACTAGACAGTCAAAATACTCCTGCATTTGCGTCACTTTCTTTTGCCTGGTTTTATTCTGACCTTAAATACTACTGTTTTTATCCAGAATGGATTTTTATATAGAGGCAGTAGGGATTTAATAGCTCTAGGTCTAGAGTCAGATCTGGAATCGAGTCCCAGCCTTTCCCTTACCTTGTGACCTTGAACAATTTTTATTTAACCTTTCTCGCCCTCAGTTTCCTCAGTTGTATACTGGGTATAATAATAGGACCTACCTGACATGGTCATTGTGAGCATTAAACAAGAGAATTCCTGTAAAATATTCAACCATGTGTCTAGTGCATAGTTAGTGCTCAGTAAATTTTAACTCTTTAATCATTATGTATGTGTTCTTAAATTTACAAACATGTATTCCTGCTGTTCATTTGTAAATGAGTGTATGGGATAAACTTGCATTACATGTAGAGTAGACTTTTGTAATCTCTGAGAGAACCTACAGAGTACATAGAGTACCTAAGTATAGTTGAATAAAACCGTGAAACCTGGCCCCCAGAAATATTTCTGTAGAAAATGCATTCAAAATTCCACTTTCAGCTTCCTCCCCCTTTGCATTCTTACCAGGGACATTGGATCTCCTAAAAGCATGGTACAGCAGTGAGATGCAAAGATGGGAATAATAATAAATTTTTTAAGTGTGTTCTAAGGAAAAAGAGGTTAAAACAAGGCTTCTTAACCTGACATCTGTAACTTTGGGGAATCTATGAATTCTGTGAAATATATGCAAAAGTATTTTATGTATGCGAGATTACATTTTTTTCAGACATAACCCATTAAGAGCTCCAAGTTTTCCTCTTATACTTCTAGAGATTTACTTGTTTCTAGATTTTCATTGAGACACTGACATTTGTTTTGATGAATCCTCTAGGTTTTTTTATGCAAATACGATTTTGCTACAAGGAACAGATTCTTTAGCCAACTCTAGCAAACTCCTTTAGTCATAAATCTGGCATTCTGTCATGGTCTCATGTCAATTTCCAGATGTCTTTGTCATCAGAATCTTCTACTTATATTTAGTACATTAGCCAAAGTTATAAACCTTACACTGCTCTTATATATGACACTTTTTGTGACATAAATGCTAATTCAGTACTATAATCATAATTACAGAATTATAACTAGCAGCTCATAATCTGAAACTCATAATATCTCAGTACCATCCAACTAAATTAACTGTTTCCAAAATGACTGTTAATATTTAAGAGCCTTGTATAAAATGGAAATTCTATTACCTTTTTGATATATGACACTTCTTCTGAACTCGGTTCTTTTTTTTTTTAAACCAATGATGATTTCAACTTAAATCCCATTTGATTAGATGGGTAACTTTCTAGCCAAAATATTCTTCTTGATCCTTTTAAGATTGACTTTGTCCTCTGCCAGTAATCTGTCAATCTGTTAATATATTATGTTACTACAAACCATGGTCTGGGAAATCAATCTTATTCTTCAATATCATTTACAGAGTCATATTTCACTAAATTTCTCTTCCATGGTCTGACCTCTGAGAAGATACAGATGCCTACCTGTGTTCTTAAATGTGTTTATTAACTATGAAGAACTTAGAAATCACTAAAAATACCTTTAAAAATTAGATGCAGTAACCTCTCTCAGTAATTTAGTGTGGCCAAAACTAGCAAGAAATATTCCTCTGTAATTTTCTTACATTTCTCACATTTTAAGATTTTTATTTTGCTTCCATTAAAGAAAAACAGTTGACTTTTCTTAATATAGAAAATATTCACGTGATTAAAGTATTTATGGAAAAGTATTGTAGTTAAGGGACTGAATCGTTGAGCCAGATTGCTTAGGTTTGAATTCCAGCTCTACAATTTTCTGACCAGGTGATCTTGGGCAAGTTACTTAACTTCCTCTGCCTTAGAAGTTGTTTCTAACTTATTTCCTCATGTTTAGAATGGAGAGACCATGCAAAGCAAAATCACAATGAGATTATGAATGGCTTTATCAAAAAGACAAGTCGTCTTGGTGAAGATGTGAAGAAAAGGGAACACTCGTACACTGTTGGTGGGAATGTAAATTGGTGCAGCAGCTATGGAAAACGTTATGGAGGTTCCTCAAAAAATTAAAAATAGAGCTACCATATGATCCAGCAATTCTACTTCTGGGTATTTATTCAAGGAAAATGAACACTATTTTGAAAAGATATGCACTTCTGTGTTCATTGCACCATTATTTATAATAGCCAAGATATGGAAGCAACATGAGTGTCCATCAATAGATGAATGGATAAAGAAGATGTGGTGTATATATAGACAATGGAATATTACTCAGCCATAAAAAAGAATGAAATCTTGCCACTTGCAAGAAGATGGATGGACCTAGAGGGTATTATGCTAAGTGAAGTAAGTCAGACAGAGAAAGACAAATACCACATGATTTCACTTATATGTGGAATCTGAAAAAACAAAACAAACGAACAAACAAACTCATAGATACAAAGAACAAACTGGTCATCAACAGAGGGGAGAAAGGTAGGGGTAAGGGTGAAATAGGTGAAGAGGATTAAGTGGTGCAAATTTCCAGTTATAAATAAGTCACAAGAATGTAATGTACAGCATTGGAATATAGTCAATAATATTTTAATAACTTTATGTGTGACAGATGGTCACTAGACTTGTGGTGATCATTTCATAATGTATGTAAATATCAGATCACTGTGTTGTACACCTGACACTAATTTAGTATCGTATGTCAGCCATACTTCAGAAAAAAATAATAAACCAAGTCACATAACCAAAACAAAACAAAAATAAAATAGAGAGACTAATAGTACCTACCTCATGGGTGATTGTGAGGATTAAATGAATAAAAAACAGTTCCTAGAAATTAGTATTGTTGTTTCTGTTAATATTGCCTCAAAAATTTTTATATTAACAGTTTTTTAAATAGAGTTTTATTTACTGTACTTTAATAATTTTAGGACTTTTCTAAGATTTGTTTCTCCAGAAACCCAAACCTGGAGTAGAGCTTTGGAGTCAGCAGATTTTATTCTAAATCCTGGTTTGGCTAAAACCATGTTTTTAGACAGTTTTTAAACTTTTTAAACTTTCAGTTTGTGCATGTATAAGATGTGTACTATAGGAGAACCTACATCATAAGCATAACGTGATGATTAAATGAAATATAGATATGAAGCTTTTGCCATTGCCTGGCACATCTTTAAATGCTCAGTAAGTGGTAGCTATTACCATTCCATGTTAAATGCCCTCTTATGAGCTGTGAGTACTGAGAAAGTTATTTCTTGGCTGTTAAATGTGATTCTTAATTGTCTTTGTGTGACTGCTTTATATTCAGCTTGCGATTAACCAAGATTCTGTGTTTTTTTCCACAGAGTATACTTACTTACTTAATAAACATCTTTCCCTCTGTATACTTACCTAATCTGACTCTCGCTTTCTGAGCACCGGCCTAGTCAACTGAGATGATTTTCATTTTGAGTCTTTATCTTTCAAAGACTGATTCTGGGTATTCTCCAAACTGAGACTAGAAGTATCCTATTCAGAGTAGCAGGGTCAAACCATTTGACAATTTGCAATCTAGTAAATACAGCTAAGGCTGCTGAAGAGCTCGCCTATTGTATTCTAGGGCAACTCTGGATTATAAAGGCAGCTGTGAGTTATAAGGGTAACACAATGACTGAATTGTAAGGATTGGAGTCCATGGAGATTTGAAGTAGGAAGATTATTGACCTCGAAAATTTCCTCCAGTCTCTCCATCAGACCTCTGGAGACTGCCTTGAGTTGTAAATTAATCCCTTTTCTGACTAGGTTCCAGACCATAAAGATAAGGATGCTTTAGACTCTTTCATCCCTTTCTCATTCTCCTAAGTATGTATACAAACCAATTTTATTCTACCAGCCTTATCACCATAGGAATTGTATATGATGATTTGAAACTGAGGCTAAGGTTTACTAGCTTCTTTGACAAATGTTAATGAGCTCTGTTTTTCTACTAGTAAAGAGCCATATATTCAACTGATAATATTTTCCATAGATTTTTAGGTATTCAAGGCTTTTTATTGGAAATTAGCAAAATTGGAATGGGGTACTTGGAGTTAACACTGCCTTTTTTCTTCAGTGGAGACACACATAAACTTTATTTTTTCTCATGAGAAAGGGTATAAGTTTTAGATACTTCAAATAGATAAGTTTGTTAAAACTATTCTGGGAATTATTTAATAATACGATTTAAGTTTATATTTAGTATGTTTTCTTTTGCAGGTTTCTTCAGTTATTGGCGTGGCAATTTGGCAAATGTTATTCGATATTTTCCGACACAAGCTCTAAACTTTGCTTTTAAGGACAAATACAAACAGCTTTTCATGTCTGGAGTTAATAAAGAAAAACAGGTAAGTATATTTTAATATCTCTAAAATTTTCTAAGAAATAGATTTGTCTTACATGTGATGTTTTATTTGGTGATGAAGTGCTCAAGTGGTAGAAAACAATAATTAAAACACAGTAACTGTTAACATAATAGGTAGTAAGTTATAGAAATTATATATGAAAAGCAGAATTATATGAACTTTGACAAGTTTCTCTAAGCCTCTTGACACACTTTTAATAACCAAAGAATCTTTTGTCTCAAGGCAATATTTCTCTGAATAAATATTAATTTTAATTAATTTACATTTTGTTATCAATATTCTACTGCACTAAGAAAATCCAGCATTTTATCTACTTTTATTAAGCAAAGAAAGTGGTCAAAAGATGTATTCCTGCCACTGAGATAATTTATTCCCTAAAGAAGAAATTGTTTCTTCTTTATGAGTAAGGATCTCTTTCACTGAGATTAAAGAGCATAGGAAGATCAGGTCAAACAAAACAGGAAAACGATAAATTTAAGTTAGAGAATTCTTTTTTTTTATTGCAAAAGTGGTTTTTCTTTTCAAGGTAATCACTCCCTTGGTTACAAAATCTCGGTTTCAAAATTTCCTTCTTATATGAACTATATGTCATTTGTCCTGGTCTCTGCTTTTTTTAATTTTTATTTTTTTAAAGATTGGCACCTGAGCTAACATCTGTTGCCAGTCATTTTTTTTCTTCTCCCCAAAGTCCCCCAGTACATAGTTGTATATTCTAGCTGTAGGTCCTTCTGGCTCTGCTATGTGGGACACCATCTCAGCATGGCTTGATGAGTCGTGCTAGGTGTGTGCCCAGGATCCAAAGTGGCGAAACCCTGGGTAACCAAAGTGGAGCACACAAACTCAACAACTCGGCCACAGGGCCAGCCCCCAGTCCTGGTCTGTGTGTTGTTGCCTCCATGTACACTATACCACCTACGTTACTCTCAAGGTCTTCCCTTCACTCTTATGAAGTCTCTTCCCCTTCTTTCTCTTTTTCTCTTCCCTTCAACCAACCAACCAACCAACCAAGCTGTCCTAGCAGGTTCTTGAAAAGCAACTGTTTGTGGAATGTTTCTTTGTTGCTCTCTTTAATTTCCTTTTATACCATTTATTGCCTTTTTTTGACAATTTATATTTCATTAACAAATGTTTATTGACTGCTTTCCACTGTATGTAATGAAGTGGGTGGTATAAAGGTAATGAGGAAAATTCTTTAGACTTAGAATCAGAAGATCTGGATTTGGATCCTGGCACTCTGCTTATTTAGCCTTGTGAGTTTTTGGAAGTCACCTCTCTGATCCTTAGTTTCCTCATCTGAAAATTGGATATAATACCTACTTCATAGTTTTATTGTGAGATTTAGATGAGATTACATGTAAAGTGCTTATCATAATGTTGTGCTTTATGTTAGGCACTCAAAAAATGTTCCTGTCGTCTTTAGCAGACAACTCTAATAATTGGAACTTCTCTTGACTCAGAACCTGTGTCAGACCCTAAGACCACCTTCACATTCAGTGATTCACTAGGACTCAGAGAACTCAGAAAAGCTATTATACTCATTACAGCAAAAGGATATAGATTAAAATCAGCAAAGGGAAAAGAACAGAATCCAGGAAAAACTAGCTACAAGCTTCCAGTTGTCCTCTCCTAGTAGAATCACATGGACAGCACTTAATTCTCCCAGCAATGATGTGGGACAACACATATGATATGTTGCTGAACAGGGTTGCTCACCTGAGCCTTTGTGTCCAGAGTTTTGGGGGGAGTCAGTTTCATGGGCATGGCATGTGACAGACCTTTAACCTCTTAGTCTCCAGCCACTACCCCTCTTCCCCAAGAGGTCAGACTGATACAGTTTAGCCCAAAGCCACAAGCAGAAAAAAACAGTTTTCTACTGTAAGTCACATGTAGGCATAAACTGCCTGGAGTGGCCCAAAGCCTCAGGCATAGAAAGATGCCCTTATCAGGTAGGATATTCCAAGGACTCACAGGTTATCTTGAAGGAACTGATCAAGGGCCAGCCCTGAATATCTTTTCTGTATGTGCAGGGTTTGGACAATGCAAGCCTGCTGAGTGGACCCTTTATTGAACACTTCCTATCCCACATCCCAAAAAGATAATTCCTATAAGACTAAGCTAAATGGAACAATTAACTCTAGAATTAGCCAGAATTTCTATGGTACTAACATCTATTCCTAGCAGTGTAAATAATATGGCTCTAAAAATTTTAAGTTAACTTTGATCCTTGCTAAAAATCTGTAATAAATTTCAAATTAGTAGGGCCTGAGGGAAAAACATTTTTAGTGTGCCTATAAAGAACATACTGTCTTATTTATAATGTAAAGGTATTCAGTCACAATTAATAGTGTAGTATTTAAATATATATTATTTACTAAATGTGGATACTAATACCCTTATTTTTCTGCCATTGGGTATCAAAATTTTATCCTATATCTGTCCTCCCCCAACAAAACAGTGAAGAAAATATTTTTGGGCTTTTTTTACCTGATCTTAAAAGAGGCAGAGAAGATGGAAAACACAAATACCATACGTGAGTTTAAAAGTGATTGATCTACCACAATGAGATATCACCACAGACCTATCAGAATGCTAAAATAGTGACAACACCAACTTTTGACAAGGATGCAGAGAAGCTGAATCATTCTTACATTGCTGTTGGGAGTGTAAAATTATACTGCTGCTCTAGAAAAAGAGTATGACAGTATCTTACAACTAAACATGGGCTTATCATACAACCCAGAAGTTTTACTGTTGGGTGTTTATCCTAGAGAATGAAAACTTATGTTCACACTAAAACCAATGTACACAATGTTCACAGAAGCTTGTTTTATAGTAGACAAAAATCTGGAAATAACCCAGATGTCCTTCAGCAGGTGAGTGGCTAAACAATCTATGGTGCATTACACCATGGAATATTACTCAGCAATAAAGAGGAACAAACTTTTGATTAAAAAAAATGTATGATTCTACTTAGGTACCTAGAGTAGGCAAATTCATAGAGACAGAAAGTAGAATAGAGGTTACCAGGGGCTGGAGGGAGAGGAGATGGGGAGTTGTTATTTTAATGGGTACAAAGTTTCTATTTAGGATATGAAAAAGTTTTGGAAATAGGTAGTAGTGATGTTCATACAGTATTGTGAATGTACTTAATATCACTGAATTATACATTTAAAAATGGCTAAAAGGGTACATTTTTTTGTAATGTATATTTTACCGCAACTTTTTAAAAAAGAACAAATTTTTTATACATGGCAGCAACTTTGGATGCTAAGTGAAAAAAAGCCAATCTCGAGTCATTTGCTTTCTGATTCTGTTTGTATAACATTCTTGAAAGGACAAAATTATAGAGATGGAAAACATAATAGGGGTTGCTAGGAGAGAGGCAGGAGGCTGTGGCTGTGAAAGGGTAGCAGTGGGGATCTGTATCATGGCACTGTTGACTGTGGTGGTGGTCACATGAATCTGCACATGTGATCAAACTGCATAGAACTAAATAGACAGGCACATGGTGAAATCTGAACACTATAGATTTTTATCAGTGTTGATTTCCTCTACTATAGTTATGCTAGATATTACCATTGAGGGAAATTGATTGAAGAGTTTACAGACTCTTTCTCTTATTTCTTAGGATACATGTGAATCTGCAGTCATCTCAAAAAGTTTTTCAAAAATAACCATGGTAGGCAGGTGTGTGCCTACTATGTATTGTTTCACTGAATTTTCACCTCATCCTTTGAGGTAGTTATTTTTATCCCAAATGTGTAGATAAAGAGAGGAAGACTCAGAGCTTAAAGCACTTGCCCAAGTCATTTGTTCAGATCCTATAACTCTCAAATTTGGATCCTTGTACCACACTCTACTTGTCTCTCAGCTGAGGTCGCTAGACTGGATGAGCCTTAGCTGAGCCTGGGCATAAAATGTTTCTCTGCTATCCCTTAGCAGTTTCCAGCACAGGCCTCAACAGAGAAGACTTGAACTTCTTCCAGCTCTCTTCCACGCCTAGACAAACTGTTAGAAAAAACTTTGGTCCCAGGGCGTTTGTTCTCTGATGCATCATTGAGTCTGTTCACACAGTATCTATTTGTTGACAGTTGACAACAAACAGGACTGTTTTTCTCCAAAACCCTCAGACTCTTTCATCCTCCTCTCCCTTCCTGATTCCTCTCCATGTCCTTTTCTTTTACGGTATAGTAATATCTGAAATTGCAAGCTTACAATAACTGAAACTCATTTATACTGATAGACCACCTCTCCTGGGTCTATTTTATTTTCAAACTTAATTGTGGAGGGATAGATTTTGTTTGTTACATAAACATTTGCAGGATTATCATGCCACGTAGGTTCTAACTTCTTTTTTCCTGCTGCTTCTTCCTTCCTTTCTCCCCTGCCGTCCCCTTCCTCCCTTCCTTCCTTCCATCAGTAGGTTGGCCATACTATTTATATATGTTGTGTCTGTCTATGTTAGTTTTTCATAGGCCCCACTTTCACTATCAGAAGTGTCCTAGTTTGAATAATAAGTTTTATGGTCATCCACCCAGAAAGTCATTGATCTGCCCTCTTTCCCTTATCTGGGAAGGAAAAAAAAAGGTTAAATAGAATTAAGGTGTACTTTATAAACCTTTATGCTGCATATTGTGTTTGGTTTGGCTTATTTGGTCGTAAGAAGCAGAGACACAAATTACCTCAAGAAAAAGAGGTATTTATTGCAATGACACACTGGTACTGGAATTTAAACCAAAGGCAGCTCTAGGGATCAAATTATACTCTTCATCTTTGTCTCCCAAGTCACTTGGTCTTTCTCTCTCTAATCTGCTTTTTTGTGTGTTTGCTGTTTTCTCATTATTGCTCACCTTTTTTATTTACCTATATATTTTTTATTTCTTTTAACTTCAATGTTAATATCATAGTGGTCCCTCCTGATCTTTCAGAGGGTCAGAGATTCTTTACCTGGGATCCATGCATGCTTGAGGAATACCTTAATCACATTAAAAGTGTATGTTTATACATAGATGATTTTTATTGGAAGAGGATATATAGCTTTCAACAGTCTCAAAGTAGACTGAGACCTGAAAAAAGTTATTTAATACCTTTTCCATTTCTGTCCTTACTGCTAACTGGCATAGAATTTCTAGAGTCAAATTCCCAAAAAATAGACTCTGGCCTAGCTCATCTTTTTCCACCAGGTTACAGATTATCTACTAGACTGTGGATTAGCTACCCTGGTGTCAGATGCAATCTCCTGATCTAATTTTCTCTGTGTGATTATGAAACATGGGCACCTATTCAGAACTTGAGTTTCACTTAAAAGGAGCTATGGGAGTCTGAGGACAGTAAGTGGCATTCCTCGTACCCTTCATTAAACTAATATTTATTGAATGTGTTACTATTACTCTGGGCAAGGTCCCATGACTTGTTGTGTGAAATAAAAAGATGAATTAGTAATCCTGGCCTCAAAAAAATGCAAACAACTGAAATTTCCATAAATTGATGAATGGATAAATAAAATGTGGTAAATCTGTATACAATCATGTGCTGCATAATGAGGTTTCAGTCAGTGACAGACTGCATGTACAATGGTGAGCCCATAAGATTAGTACTGTATAGCCTAAATGTCTAGAAAACTATACCATCTAGGTTTATGTAAGTACACTCTGATGTTTGCACGATGACTAAATTTCCTACTGACACATTTTTCAGAACATATCCCCATCATTGACACATGACTGTAATAGAATATTATTTGGCAATAAAAAGGAATGAAGTACTAATACATGCTACAATGTGAATGAGCCTTGAAAACATTATGTTAAATGAAAGAATCCAGTCACAAAAGACTACATATTGTGTTGTTTCCTGTACAGGAAATGTCCGGAACAGCCAAATCTGTAGAGATAGAAAGTAGCTTAATGGTTACCTAGGGCTCAGGTGAGTGTGGGAGGATGTGGAGTGACTGCTAATGGCAAAGGGTTTCTTTCTTGGGGTGATGAAAATATTCTGAAACTGGTGATGGTTACACAACTCTGTGAATATACTCACAATCCACTGAATTGTATACTTCACGTGGGTGAATCATATGGTATGTAAATGTATCTCAGTAAAGCTGTTAAATTTTTAAAAAGTGCTAATAATAATAATCCTGGCCTCAAGAAATGTATAGTCTGAAAGAGGTAAGTTAAGACATGTACACAAATAATTATAAATTGAAAATACAAAGTGATTATAAGTACTATTTAAAAAAATGAAAATCTGGAACAAATTGACACATTTTACATATTGGTCACATGATTCACCTTTAAATCTCTGAGAGATGAAGTATTTATGGGAAGAGGGATTACATACAGTTTTGGGTGGGTTAGAGGTCGGAGCCTTCATTGGAAGAAGGAGAATTTAAATTAGAGCATAAATCAATAACTTATTGTCTAAAAACGATAGGAAGGGCATTCCACACCAAGAGAAAATAAAGTTCCAAAGTTATCTGAGACCCAAAACTATTGTTCGAAACAGGAGTAAGAGAATAAAGCAAGAAACTGAGTTTGACTGGCATATTATTCACTTTAATGTATTTAATGTATTTACAGCAGCCTTGTACCCTAGATTTTCTATAACAGCTCTAATTCAAGTATTCCTTTCTTCTCCAGTAAGCTCTACATGTTGAAGAGCAGTTTACTGGATGTAAGCAGGGCACATTTTACATGTTTATCAAAAAGAACCTCAACAACCCACGTGAACCAATGGATCAATAAGGTCTAATTTACATGCCACTCAACTACATTATAATTGATTTCTGCCAATTTTCATGTTAGCATTTGAACATAATATATATTTTTGAGCTGTTTAAGTTTAATTCTACTAAAATTACAAAATAAAATTGTGGCATTATGAAGTATTACTGCCTGCCCTCTCACCACCAAAAAAGGACACAACTAAAGCCTCCATAGGTACTTGACATTTTAGTCATAACTAACGCTATTAACAAAAAGTTTATAATCTAAAGAGATGATTATCTTATGTGGCCTTTTTTGCTATGTGGGCGACTTTTGCTGGAGGCCATTAAAACACAATCTTGGAATTTCAGTATGTCAGCATCTAAACTGTATCTCCCAGACTGCCTGGTAGAAACAAAGGCTGCATGGACATCTAAAGAAGTATTTTGGATAATATGATATGCATTATCATAGATGTTTACTTTGTAAAAGCAGTTTGTAAATCTGGCTTTTTAACCTTAATAAAAAATAACAATTTTAAACAGTGGGGTTCTGTAGTTTAATAACCACTTTTTAATTAATATGTTTCAGTTCTGGAGGTGGTTTTTGGCAAACCTGGCTTCTGGTGGAGCTGCTGGGGCAACATCCTTATGTGTAGTATATCCGCTAGATTTTGCCCGAACCCGATTAGGTGCCGATATTGGAAAAGGTATGGGATTTTTAGAAATACTAAGTCTTCCTTTTTTGTGTTTTGAACGATGTGTTATATACTGTAGAGTTATGCTGTAACAACAGTGTCAGATACAGTCTAAAAATTTTATTCTCAACAAAATAGTAGAGTCATAGCACCTAAAGATTACTACTTTTTTCTTTTCCCTTAGAAGAGGGAAGGGGAAGGCCAACATTGTAGTAACAAAAGAGCAAACACAAAGACTGCTTATAACTTAATTCCACTTTTTTCCCTAGAGAGCCGCCTCCCAGATCCCTCCATGCACTTATTCCTGTCTCCACTATGGCTTCTCTCTACGTGAGATGTACAACTCTCATCCTAGAGATTCCCTTTGCCTCTGCCCTTACTTATTTTATTTACCACATCTTCCTATGTTTTTGTTACACCCTTGTTTTGGTAGATTATGTTCCTTGGGAGCTTTCTCAGAAGAGTGGATGGGAGATAAATTCAGATCTTGCATGTCTGAAAATGTCTTTGTTTTACCCTCTTAATATTTGACCACGTATAAAATTCTACCTTTAAAGTTATTTTCTTTCACAATTTTGAAAGCATTGCACTGGATTCTAGTTTCTAATGTTACTCTTAAGAATTTGATCTCTTACTGCTGATCCTTTTGTAGGTGGCTTTCTTTCTTTTTCATTGCCTTGTATCCCTGATGATCTGACATTTCACAATGATGTATCTTTGTGTGAGTCTTTTGTCAGTAACTGTGGAGGTAACTCACTTGGCCCCATTCAGTCTGGAGTCTTGTGTTCAGTTCTGAGGAGTAAGTCACTTGGCTGCTTAGGGGGAGGTTGTGGACTTTGAGCATCCGGCTGCCACTTTGCTTTCACCACAACAGTTGTACTTAGTTCCTCTGATTTCTAAGCCTTTCTGAGGTTATTGGGTCAAATGGCTCGCTTCTCAACAATATCTCCTTCTGCAAGATAATAGGTTTCAGCTTTGTCTGCTCTACTTAGTTACCAATCTTCCACCTCCTTTCCATCTTGCTAAAATTTGTGGATTTCATTCTCTGTCATGTACACTTCTTTGCCTATATGGCTTTAAACCTGTTTTATTCCTTTATTATCATTTTACTGGAATTTCTTAAGCAAGCTGAAATTCATTCAACAAATATTTATTGAGCGCCTGGTGTCAACCAGGCCCTGCCTCAGATAGAAGATGTGTGTCTCGCTCACACCTCCCCATATAAAACATGGAACTCATGACTTCTGTACCTTATAGTCTAGTGGAGGACACAAGTAATAAAAAAATGAATAAATGACCAAAATATACTGTCACTTAGAAATAAATGCCATGAAAGAAAATTTAGAAGGAAGTGACATTGGTATTAGATAAGTGATCAGAGAAAATGCTTCATAAAGGTAGCAGTTTGAGCAAAGATGAAAATATGAGTTGCATGTATCATATTTAACTGGCAGTCCAAATTTTCTTATTGCCCAGAAAGTGAAAATAACTCGTGTATCTTGTTTTAAGTTCACTTCTGTGGTGGCGTTTTCTCTCAAAATTGGGAGAATTTAGTTTATTTTGAAAGATGGTATTGTATATATAATACTTGAAAAATATTGTCAAGGAGGTCTAGGCCGAGGAAAGATAAAAACAAAACCAGCAAACACTAGAAAGATATAACACCTCATCTAAAATGTTAATAATCCTTAGGGTTACTAGTTTTTAGGTTTGTCTTTTTGCTTTATGTGTCTTTTTGCTCTTCAACTGAAGCAAGTCATGGAGTTTTTCATTCCTAAGTATTTTCTGAACTCTAACTAGTAACTTCTCATAATTTTATTGAAATGTTTTAAGCCAGTCAGATTGCTTGAATTAGATTGCTTTTGTAAGAGATTGATGTTTTCAGTTAAAACCTTTTAAGACACTACTTGAAATCTTAATTATTTTTAAACAGATGGGAAGATTTTGATTTGTTCCCTTTTTTGTTAGATTTCTAAGTGGCACTTCCACATAATTTAAATCTATACAATGTTTAATTAATTTACTTTAATTAAAGTGTTTATCTGATATATAATATTGCTAATAAATTTTAAATGGCTTTATTTTAGGTCCTGAAGAGCGACAATTCAAGGGTTTAGGTGACTGTATCATGAAAATAGCAAAATCAGATGGAATTGTTGGTTTATACCGAGGGTTTGGTGTTTCAGTTCAGGGCATCATTGTGTACCGAGCCTCTTATTTTGGAGCTTATGACACAGTTAAGGTAATTTGGGGCTTTAACTATTAGTATATGTTAAATAAATGGTTCGCCTCTTTTTATTTTTCTAATTAGTAATATGTTCAGCGATTATGTTTACTTTTAATTGTAGAAATGAAAATAAATGATGAAATGAGGCATTATAGAAATCTGTTTAATCATGACTTAGCCATAACCTAGTTAAATTATGACTCTATTATAGATCTAACTTTAGCTATAAAGCATAAACCCAAACATTAGGTTTTTGTGCTGTTTGTACTCAAAGCACACTATACATCATGTTGCAAATAGAAAACATGCTGAGTAGACTTACATCATAATCAAATCTTTGTCATATAGAAAAGCATCTTCTAACAGAGGTTTTCTGATTTTACATTCGTTTTATTATCATTTTTTTACGTACAAATACTTTACTGTCACCATTTTAGAAAGTAAGCACGGCACAATTAGTTAAATGTGTAAATGTTACTATAGCTCAGTTCCTATTGGTACTGTTCAGCTCTGTATTATCTTCTCCAGCTTGTTCTACAAATTCACCTTTTTATTTTAGATTTGAATATCACTTCCATAAAGTAGGAAAGAGAAAGATTATGATAATGGCTACCATTTTTTAAAGCTATTACTTAGTTCTACGAACCTTGTTAAGTACTTCACATCTCACAGTGTAATTTCCTAATAACCATTTTAAATATAGATATAAATATAAAATAATAACCATTTTAAAGATAGATAACCTAAAAATGGTCAAGTAATTTATTTAAGTGGCAAGCAGAAGTTCCATGCTCTTAATTACTACATCTTAATGCTTCCAAAAGGAAGCAATTGAATTAATATCATTATTATTTACTAAATAAGATTAAAACTTGAGGGAAATTTTATGATGGTTTTGTATATTATCTCTGCCCTCCCTCAATAGTAGAAATGCAGTTGAATGTCATTTTTATTGTGGTCTGGACATATTACTTTTAGTTTGTAGTGTATTTTTTAAACAGATAAGTTAATGGAAATTACAGGATCTTGTGTATGTTTCTTTAATCACGGAAAAATTTATGTGTACTCTCCCTCTGCTTTTCTCTGCAGAGAAACATTCTTTAGGAATGTTTCTTTACTAGCTTAGAGCTTTAAAGCTGTTTTTCAAATATCATCTATTGATGATAACAGCAGGCATTCTTTAATTTTTTTCAACTTGATCAAGAAGAGCCGTGGAAGAAGAGTTTTGGTCACTGGTGCTCTCTCTTCTAGTTGTAGGTGCCGTTAATAACAAATCTCTTGTAATAGCAAATATGCTTTTCCTTTCAAGTATGCTTTTAAAGTATGGCCATGGATAGCATTCTGCTTTCTTATGGATCTCCTGTTATTATTTTAATCTTTCCGCATTAAATCCAACTGTTCTTTATTGCCTTTTAAGTGTAATTGAACCCTCTTTCATATAAGAATTATTCTTTGATGTAAGGATTTAAGATATTTTGGAAATTTAGATGATTACTTGATATGTTTTTCTTTTCTAGGGTCTATTACCAAAACCAAAGGAAACCCCATTTGTTGTCTCCTTTTTCATTGCTCAAGTTGTGACTACGTGCTCTGGAATACTCTCTTATCCTTTTGACACAGTTAGAAGACGTATGATGATGCAGGTATTTCATATTATTATTTGTAAGCTTAATCAAGTTTTCCAATATCTCTGATATTCAAGTATAATTTATTCAAGTTTTAGAGAAATTTTGGCTGAAAGGCGTAGGTCATTTGTTTTACTTAACTAAAATAAATGGATGATGTCTTCTGTCTTGTATTCTTTCCTATCCCAAAATAGCCATCATCCAGCAAAGCTTCTTTGTCATTTGCTGTCAGAAGAGAAATGCCTTCCACTCCTGTAGCATATATTGTTTGGAGGGTATAGGGGGATGGCAGGGATTGGAAGAGCATGTCTGTCTTTTTTTTTTTCTAAGATTTTGTTTTTCCTTTTTCTCCCCAAAGCCTCCCGGTACATAGGTGTATATTTTTAGTTGTGGGTCCTTCTAGTTGTGGCATGTGGGATCCCACCTCAGCATGGCTTGATGAGCTGTGCTGTGTCCGCACCCAGGATCCAAACCAGCAAAACCCTGGGCTGCCAAAGCAGAGCATGCGAACTTAACCACTCGGCCACAGCGCCGGCCCCGAGCATGTCTATCTTAACTGGATATTAAATTAAGTAGAATATGCCTAGTCACAAGCCATTGACATATGTCATCATCTGTTGTAGTGTATCTTAATAAAAGTAGTACATTTTTCCAAAGATGAAAACTTGTTTATAATCCCCAAACCAAAACTTTGATATCTTTGATCTCCATTGATGTTACTTGTTACATTCATTCATTCAGCAAATATTTGAGTGCCTAATCTATGATAAGCTATGGTGACACAAATAAAAAAAGGCAAAACCTGCACCCAAATTCATAGCACAGTTTTGAAGGCATTCAGTTAATGGTTTAAGTAAAAATGTGCGTAGGTTCCAGGCACCTATGGAGGAGGGGTGCCCAGATGCTTAAAGTGATTAGTTATGGCCTCTTGGAGAGCAAAATCTCAGTAAATAGGCTTTTTCTCCAGACAGAGAAGACTAATCAGAGGGGAAAAAACAGACATAAAGGTATGACTGGAGAAGTAGTTCAATACTATCAGATAATAGATTTCATGAGGGCAAGTGAGAATAATGAGACCGGAAAGGTAGAATAGTAATATAATGCTTACTCTGTGCCAGATTTGTCGACTTTACACTTTTAATCATTTAATTCTCAAAACAATGCTATGAGGTGTAGTTACTATCATTATCCTCATTTTATGTCTATGCAGTGGTCCTGGAAGAACCCAGCAGGCCACCTGAAAGGGGAAAGCATTTATAACTTATAACTTCACTCATGGACTGTCCTTAAAGTTATTTCTTTTATATCTCTGTTTCCTCTTGATCTATATGTAGCTCCAGTTTAGTATATTGAAAAACTCATTAAAATGGGAAATTAACTTGCATATAGACTATGGATTAGGTAAATGGTACTGTATCAATGTTAAATTTTCTGATTTTGCTACGTGTACTTTGGGTATGTAAGAAAATATTCTTAGAAAATGCACACTGAAGTGTTTAAAGATAAGGGGCATGATATCTGCAATTTGCCACCAAAATAACTCAGAAGAAATATTATGAATATGTGAGTTTTTATATATATATTTATTTGTGTGTGTGTGTATTGCCAGGGCTGCCATAACAAAGTACCACAAACTGGGTGGCTTAAATAGAAATTTATTTTCTCACAGTTCTGGAGGGTGAAAGTCTGAGTCAGGTGTCCAGCAGAGTTGGTTTCTTCTTAGAGCTTCTCTCCTTGGCTTGTAGATGGCTACCTTCTCCCTAGGTCTTCCCATGGCTTTTTTTTCTGTTTCTCTTCTTATAAGGATGGCCATATTGGATTAGGGCCTACCTTAATGAGCTCATTTAACATTCATTACCTTTAAAAAGACCCTGTCTCCGAATATAGTCAAATTCTGAGGTAACTGGGGGTTAAGACTTCGATATATGAATTTTGTGGGGACACAGTTCAGCCCATAACAATACTCTTTTTTTTTTTTTTAAGATTGGCACCTGAGCTAACAACTGTTGCCAAATTTTTTTTTTTCTGCTTTATCTCCCCAAACACCACCCCCCATATATAGTTGTATATCCTAGTTGCAGGTCCTTCTAGTTGTGGGATGTGGGACGCCGCCTCACCGTGGCCTGACGAGCGGTGCCATGTTCGAGCCCAGGATCTGAACCCTGGCCTGCCGCAGCGGAGTGCGCGAACTTAACCACTCGGCCACGGAGCTGGCCCCTAGTACTCTTTTTTAATTTTTGTATTTTCATTTTGTATCCCACAACTTTATTGAACCCTATTACAAATACTTCTATAAGTACACTCTTTGAAGTTTTTTTTTTTTACACACACTTTTTTCCCCTTCTTCCTCAATTCTTATACCTTTTATTTGCTTTTCCTCCCTTTCTGTACTAGCTGAGACCTCTGATTCAGTGTTATATTAGAGAAGTAGTAACTGACAACCTTGTCTTGTTCCTCATCTTACAGAGAATGCCTTCAGTGTTACATAATTTAATGTTTGCTGTAGGTTTTTTGTAGTTATTCTTTACCATGTTATGGCTGTTCCTTTCTGTTTTGGATTACAATTTTTAATCATGAATGGTGGTGATATTTTTTCTGTATCTATTGAGATGACCATACTATTTTTCTCTTTTCATATGTTAATGTATTATATTACATTAATCTATTTTTCAGAGCTAAACCAACCTTGTATACCAGGGATAAACCCAGCTTTGTCGTGGTGTATTGTAATTCTCTCTCTTACTGGTTTTGATTTGCTAGTTTTTGTTCAGGATTTTTGCATCCATATTTCAGTGACATTGGCTTGTAATTTTTCCTTCTTGTATTGATCTAATATAATTTTGGCATCAAAGCAAGCCTCATAAAATATGTTAGGAAGTCTTCCCACTTTTTCTCTTTTCTAGAATAATTTCTGTAAGATTGGAATTAAATGTTCATTGAAGGTTTAGTAGAACTCACATATAAAGCCATCTGGACATGTGGTGGTTTTTTTATGAGAAGATTTTCAAAAACTGATTGAATTTCTTTAATGAATTTAGTATTATTCCATTCTGTTGTTAAATTGTACTTTTTTAGGAATTTATCCATTTCTTCCCAGTTTTAAAAATTATTATTTTGAACTTGTTCATAATATCATCTTGTGCTTTCTTTTTTTAGGTTATAAATGCTTTTCTTTTTTTTTTTATCCAACTAATTTTATTGAGATTGTAATGGTTTATAACATTGTGTAATTGTGGGTGTACATTATTCTTTATCAATTCCTGAGTACGCTTCATTGTGTTCACCCCAGTGGTCCAATTTTTATCCATTACCATACGTATGTGCCCCTTTATCCCTTTCACCTACCCCCAACCCCCTTCCCATCTGGTAAGCACTAATCTGTTCTCTTTGTCTATGTATTTGTTATCTTCCTTATATGAGTGAAACCATACGGTGTTTGTCTTTCTGTGTCTGGCTTATTTCGCTTAACATAATACCCTCAGTGTCCATCCATATTGTTGCAAATGGGACAATTTTGTCTTTTTTATGACTGAGTAGTATTCCACTGTATATATATACCACATCTTCTTTATCCATTCATTTATAGATGGGCACTTGGGTTGCTTCCACATCTTGGCTATGTGAATAATGCTGCAATGAACATAGGGGTGCATAAATCTCTTTGGATTGTTGATTTCAACTTCTTTGGATAAATACCCAGTAGTAGGATAGCTGGATCATATGGTATTTCTATTTTTAATTTCTTGAGAAATCTCCATACTGTTTTCCATAGTGGCTGCACCAGTTTGCACTCCCACCAGCGGTGTATGAGGGTTCCCTTTTCTCCACATCCTCTCCAACTTTTGTTGTTTTTTGTCTTGGTAATTATAGCCATTCTGACTGGTGTAAGGTGATGATATCTCATTGTAGTTTTGATTTGCATTTCCCTAATAGTGATGTTATCATCTTGCTCTTTCTTAATCTCTGGATCATCTGCAGTGATGTTACCTTTGCCATTTCTAATAATTTTGGGAGCTTTTCTTATTTTTCCTCAAACAGTATTTCCAGAAATTTGTCGGTAAATTATTTCAAATAATTAACTGTAGACTTTTTATGCTCTCTGTTGTGTTTATTTTCTATTCCTTTTTTTTTTCTGCTGGTTGTTTTCTTATTTCTACTTTCAAGTTTATTCTTTTTCTAAAAATGTTTAGCTTACTCATTAATTTTCAGCCTTTCCTTTATAACAGTTCAAGTTCATTAATTTCTCTATAAGTTATCACTCAAGCTGCATCTAACAAATTTAGTTAAGGAGTTTTGTGGTTATTAGTAGGTTTTAAATATTTTCTAAGATGTGTTTTTCTTAATATCCAAATGTGATATTTTTCTGTTATCGTTTTTGCTATTGATTTCTCACTTCATTGCAGTGTGGTGAGAGGATAAATCATGGTGTGTGATGGCATCTTTTGAAATTTGTTAAGCCTAATATATGGTCACTTTTTAGGTGTGCCTGAAAAGAATGAGTATTCTCCAACCATTGGGTACAATATTCAGTATATGCTCATTAACTGAACGTACTTACTTAACCTTTATCTATCCTTAGTGCTGAATAAAATCTATCTTAAGATAAAAGATATTAAGATAGGGGCCGGCCAGGTGGTGCAGCGGTCAAGTTTGAACATTCCACTTTGGCAGCCCGGGGTTCGCTGGTTCTGATCCCGGGTGCAGACATGGCACCACTTGGCAAGCCATGCTGTGGCAGGCGTCCCACATATAAAGTAGAGGAAGATGGGCACGGATGTTAGCTCAGGGCCGGTCTTCCTCAGCAAAAAGAGGAGGATTGGCAGCAGTTAGCTCAGGGCTAATCTTCCTCAAAAAAAAAAAAGATATTAAGATAATGTCAAACTATTTGTCTTTCTTTATATAGAGCGGTGAGGCTGAACGGCAATATAAAGGAACTTTAGACTGCTTTGTGAAGATATACCAACATGAGGGAATCAATGCATTTTTTCGTGGTGCCTTCTCCAACATCCTTCGTGGTACAGGGGGTGCTTTGGTGTTGGTATTATATGATAAAATTAAAGAATTCCTTAATATTGATATTGGAGGTAGTTCATCAGGAGATTAAATTGAGAAATGCATTTATTTAACTTGTTAAACATACAAGTTACATAGCTGATATTTGTGTACATTTTGATAGTGTGTTATTATTGTCAGTATTTTCTTAAAGTGCTAAGTCTGCAATAAGGCATAAGCTTTTTTCAAGGATTTAAATACTAAAAATCAGATAAATGTGGGCTTCCTTCCTACTTAGACTTAAACTCACTTTAATGAGACATTTTACTTATTATAAATGGTATATTTTATTTCTATCAGTTTAAAATCCTTTTCTTTTGTAATGAAAAATTAAAATGTATAATGCTAAAATCTAAGAAATGAAAGTGTTTTCTTTTAAAATGCTCTTCTTTTAATATAACTGTCTTCCCATCTTTTAAAAATCATATGATACAACAAATATTTCTTAAAAGTTTATCAGGAGTTGTCATCATTATATCTGTGGGCTTAAGTAAGCTTTATTCTACAACATCTCTACTAAGACAGTTCAGGTATTACTATGTATAGTGTTCATGGTATCATAGCTTTTAATAAGCACAGATTCTAGATCTGATCATAAAAAATTGATAATGACTTTAATAACACTGTAAACCTGTAGTTGGAAAATAAAAGATATAAAATGGCATATCTGCTAACTTTCATGTTTAAAATAAATAAAATCTTGCTAATGTGAATATATCTTCAAACCAAAAATATCTTCTTGATAACTAGTTTGTGTACTCTGTATTGATAGTAAAGGAAGTTTAATACTGTTATATCTGAGGGTTTTTTCCCTTGATTCTAATTTTATTAATAAGCAGAGAGTAACAAAATTTTTGTCAGAATTGGGAACTGGCTTAAAGACAGAAAACAGGGTTTCCAAAGTGCAGGAGTCTATCTTGTTTTTCAAAAATGTTGTAGAAGATAGTATATTTGAAATCCCCAAGATTTTAAAGTTTTAGTGGGTAAAGGAGTGTTAAGCTAGTGGGGATACATTATAGAAAGATTTTGTGAGGCTGTGAGTGGGCAAAAATGGGGTGGGTGAACTTCCTGGTGCACAGGGGCAAAGTATATTTCAAGGAAAATAAATCCAAACTATACTTTTTAATATATTGGTATTATCAACTTGAGAAAAAAAATTAACTCTTTTGAAAACCTTCAACGTGAGTTCTTGCAGTGGTCAACATATCACAGTTTATAGAAACAAACTACAAGATATTTTTCTTTCCTTCTACACTATCAGTAGTTTTGTTTGCCACAACAAAGGGAAGATTTAAGACGGCTCAAGGAAAACCAATTATAATAATCAATAGTCTCCCATATAAAGATTAACTAAGAAAATATACAAGTTTTTAATCCATACAGAGACATACTTAGAGTAAAGAAGTCTTTGAAATCCTGAATGACATGGATAGAAAAAAAAAAAAAATTACTAGTGCTGCTTCTTCTTGGGTAGAGAGTATTCTTGGGTAGGATTTTTAATTTCTTGCCCTAACTCTGTGTCCCCAAATAATACCTAAAATTCTGTTCTCAGTGCTTCATTCTTTTAGTTCTTCTTTACCTAATTCATTAAAATACATCCTCCATAAAAAAAACATGTAACCCTTTAGGTTTGTAGTGATTTATACTTAACTGAAACTACATTTATTTTGGTGAATTTCACATTGTTTTCTCACAGCAGGTTTTGCTAGAGAAAGACCAAAAAAAATTACTAAAAGGCCAGAAGCCTCTGAAGAAATTTTTACTATTTTTTTTCCCCAAGGAAGATTAGCCCTGAGCTAACATCTGCCAATCCTCCTCTTTTTTCTGAGGAAGGCTGGCCCTGAGCTAACATCCATACCCATCTTCCTCTACTTTATATGTGGGACGCCTGCCACAGCATGGCTTGCCAAGTGGTGCCATGTCTGCACCCGGGATCCGAACCAGTGAACCCCGGGCCACCGAAGCTGAACGTGCACACTTAACTGCTGTGCCACTGGGCTAGCCTCAATTTTTACTATTTTATATTCCTACTCTGGATTGATGTTTTACAGTAATGGAACTATGGTACACTTGAACTAAAACTTCTGAAATAGTTTCTTTGTTCATAAACAGACATTGTGCTTCATAAATAAGAAATGATACCTTTGTTCCTCTTTAGCTATTTCACCTAAATGTAAATTCAAAAGGGCTGCTTTTCTTCCACCATATCTTAAGTGTTAGTATTCTCTAGCAGCCAGTCCTAAGCTCTTTTTGTACTTTATATATGCTTCCCAGTTCATTTCTTCTATACGTTTAGTTTCAGATACCATCTATATGTCACTGACACTCAGATTTCTCTCTTGCCTGGCCCAGATTCCTCTAAGGATTTCCAGATGCAATTCTGACTCTCTCTTGCACCCCTTTCTCTGTATGTACCACAGATTTCTCTAACCGAATATTTCTAAAACCTAAGTCGTCTCAAATCAGACCTGCTTCTCTTTCCATAACCCCTATCTTGATTAACAGTACATACCAATTCTCCCCAGTCACCCACACTAGAAACCTGGGAGTCATCTTTGCTTTCCTTCTACTTCAGTTCATATAGCAAATAGATCACCCACTCTTGTACATTCTGCTTTCTAAAAATTTCTTGTAATTTGTTCTTTTCTTTCCATTCTGACTTCCATTGCCTTAATTCAGGACTCATTGTCACCAAGGGCAGCTGTTAATCCTTCAGTGAGGGTAAAGGCTAAGCTGCTGTAACAAAGAGACTCAAAAATACAGTGATTTAAGAGAGACAGGTGTTTCTCTTAAGTAATAGTTGGGAGGTGAGCAGTCAAAGATAGCAGAGTACCTGCTCCATGAACTCCTCCAGAAACCCACCTTCCTTCAGTCTTTTTGCTCTAATCTCTTAGAGCAGGGGTTCTTAAAAATTTTGTGCGTGGACACCTTTGGCATTCTAGTAACACCTATGAACCCTTTGTAATAGTTTTTAAATGCATAAAATAAAATTCACAGGATTACAAAGGAAACAATATTTGAAAGATGGTTATTAAGATATTAAAAAATACAAATTTGTGATATAGTAATTATGTGTTTCTTTTAAACACATTTATAACAAGATCCAATGGTCTAATAATTACTCTAATTTCATAGTATTGATGATCATAAATGTTGTTTGAAATGATATATCCAACAATTAAAATGTAGTATGAAAATATCTGATTTCTATTGGTGGGAAAAATCACATCCTCTTACTACTACCATGACTTGTGCCCACATTTATAATTGAAAGAAACGTTAAGTTTTAGTTAAAGAGGAGTTTAAGATACCCACCCCTTAGTTCTGTCTGTGGATTACTTGGGGATCTGGGGACCCCAGTTAAAGAATCCCTGTCCTAGAGCATCGTAGTCATCTGCATAATCAAAGCTGGGTCTCTGGCTAACTTGTGTTCCTACTTACAGGAAGGGGGAAAGATAAATCAGTGTAGGTGGAAGGGATTTTAACCAGGTGAGGTGGAAGTTGCACATGTCACATATACACATTGGTGAGACTTTAGTCACACGGCCATACTTACCTATAAAGAAGGTAGGAAATAGAGTCTGTAGTTAAGCAGCCATATGTACAAGACAAAATAAAAAATTTTGAAGGACAAGTAGGTGTCTGCCACAGTCTCCTAAGTATCCCCCATGTATCCAATCTCACCTTGCTCTAATCCATTCTTAACCCCACCACCAAAGTATTTTTTAAACTCCAATCTGATCATGTCAGTTTCCATCTATTTCAGTGCCTCATTTTAAATATGTTATAGCAGTACTTCCTGACATCTAGGTCGTCTGGATTAGGGCAGTTTTTGCAAGTCTAGGAGTCCATATGCCCACTAAAATTGAAAATTGAATTTAAAAATTATATTTTATATATATATATAGCATTTTTATTCATATATATACAAGCTTTGGAGATTAGCAGAATACAGGTATATGTTGAAGTGTTCTTGAACTCATAGTGGGATGTGGACATTATTGTTTCAATAAGTGCTAAAAAGTAGTTACTTTGGGAGGCATAATTTTTTTACATTAGAAAAGGGTCCTCATTCTTAAAAACATAAACTACTGACCTACAGGATAAAATAAAGACTTCTTATTGTTAGACTGCCATACAATATCCTTCATGATCTAGCTCTAGACTTCACCTGGACATCATCTCTGTCCTTCTAGGCATTGCAGGCATACCAGTAATTTCTCATTCCTGAAATACAGTATGTTCTTTGATGCCGCTGTGCCATTGGACCTTATTTTTTTGTCATTTCTTTTGTACCTTCTTTTCCTTCTGCCCATTAGTTCCTTCCTTTTCATTATCTACCTCCAAAGTTACTCATTTTTAAAGCATAATTCTAAAATTATTTTCTCTGAGAAGAACTTCCAGCTTCAAAGGATCCCTCCCTCCAGACAAGTGTCCCACTTCTAGCCATTCAAACACAGAAGCTTTTAGACTTCAATGCAAATTTCTACTGGTACATTTATTATAGGGTGAAGTTTTTACCTATTTCAGCAACTATTTATTGCGTACCCCATAGTTCATGGTCTTGACTAGTGGTGAAGCTTACAAAAACACATATATTCCATACCCTCATAATCTAGTAAAAGTCATAATCTAGTAAAGATCAGAATTTAGTAAAATGGATAAATAAGTGGTAGAGGACAGGATGTGAAAAATGTAAGACAGGTACAAAGTGCTAGCAAAAGAAAGAAAGTCAACTTGAGGCAGTCTTGGGAGGCTTCATGATAGCTTACATTGTCTTAAACAGCACTGAAGATTTTAAGCATGTAAAATCGGTGCTATATCCCATAAAAAGATAGTGACACAAAAACTTGGAGAAATTCGTCATATTTGAGCAACTGTAAGTGGTCAGACTGGCTGAGATGAAACAGTAGATGTAGAAAAGTGATAGGAAAGAGGGTTGGAAAAGTAAATTGAAGGTCAGCCCGTGAAAGGCTTTGAGTGCCAGAGTGAAGAGGTTAGACAGTGGAGAACTATCACTAAATTTTTGGTCAGGTGAATAACAAAGTCAAAGCAATGCTTTAGGAAGATAGCTTGGCAGTGTAATGGGGGAAAGACTGGGTAGAGAGACCAGAGAGCAAATTATAGCAATAAGTTGAAGTAGAGAGTCTAGATATTGCAAGTATATGAGCTAAATATCTAGCAATATGGCAGATTGAACTCATACAGATACCTTCCCCGACAAACGTGAACATGCTGGGTAAAATACAGTAGTCCCTCCTCATCTACAGAGGATACTGTCATTCCAAGACTCCCACTGGATGCCTGAAACCATGGATAGTACCAAACCCTATAGACAGTATGTTTTTTCCTATACATACATACCTATGATAAAGTTTAATTTATAAATTAGACACAGTAAGAGATTAACAATAATAATAAAATAGAACAGTCATAACAATATACTGTAATAAAAGTTATGTGAATGTGATCTCTTTATATCAGAATATCTTATTATACTTACTTTTGTGTTGTGAGATGATACAGTGCCTATATAATGAGATGAAGTGAGCTGAATCACGTAAGTATTGTGATGTAGCATTATTTTTGGACCGTGGTTCACCATGGGTAACTGAAACCACTGAAAGCGAAACTGTGGATAAGGGCAGACTACTGCATATCCAA